GGCATTTATGTGCATTTGAACTTTTTTGCAGGAGGAATCACCATCAGAAATAGCAAAAAATACCCTCTAAATGGAGAACCGCCAGCTATAATGTACTATTGCTGGGATTTGTAGTCCTCTATAGTCGGTGCCATTCTGCATTCATTGCTGTATAATTTTACACTTTCCTTTTCACTATATTGCACACCACTATTTTTTTTCTTTTCTTTTTTACTTCTACCGCTCCAAGCTCGCTCCTGTGATGGAGTGCAATCTCAATACAAACTAGTAGTCCATCACTGGAGCCATTTTTAAAAATGTATTTTATTGTTCATCCGATTAACCGATTAATCGAACTTAATAATCGGCTAACTAATCGATTTTGAAAATAATCGTTAGCTGCAGCTCTAGATCCCAGGGCAGAAAACTTTCCATATACACAAAATGCTTAAAATGTTTAGTATTTATTATTCCTCATAATTAATATTTAAACCAAAAATAAAAAACAAAAGTATATCCCCCATAAAGCAAAACAACAATATATGATCCTGATATCCGCATTAATTTGACATAATCTGATGCTAATAAAAGATATCTGTTGCACATATCTGTCCCTGCGTTTTATAAATAAATGAGTGAATATTTGAAACTTTCCCGCACTCATAAATAACTTTTTTGTTAGAATTCATCGATGTATTGTTGATAACTTGTTAATCCAGTATAACCCTGATTATCTTGCAAAAAAACTCCATAATGGAAATTTCAGGTGCATCTGTATGTTCAAAGCAATACTCCATGCAACTATAGGATATTCCTAAAAAAATCAGCTTGGTCTTCTTCGCTTAAAAGATGATAAAGAGGTTGTTTCTTATATAGTCGTCAAATATTTATTTTGGGTGCGGTAAGATAGCGTTAGCCTTACAAGTGTATCTTATTATTTCTTAAGGTGCAGCACATGACTTCTTTTAGGTAAACATATGCAGCCAAAACACAGTCCATCCAATATGTGGGCAAATGAGAAATACGGTGTATATAAAAGAAAAATGTCCATATGTGTGAGGCATACAACAAGTTTGTAATCGCTATATGGAAAGTCTTTGCTGGCTTTCATTAAATCAGCATCCACACATGTGTGTAAGGTAGTAAGCTTGTAGCACATTCTTCAATCTACGAAGCCAAAGCCAGCTTCAAGACAAAATCTTTACTGGTGAACCAGGCTATTTTTCCAATGCTAGGCTCAAACACAGCAGGTATTCAAAGCTTTTTCAGGCATGCACGTACACACAGAGTGTCCATAGGATAAGTCTCTCACAGTAACCGTGTTTCCCCAAAAATAAGACACTGTCTTATATTTTTTTATGCTCAAATAAAACACAGTAGGTCTTATTTTTTTAATGTACAACAATCCAAAGTGAATGCAAATCCAAATTAAATAATCCAAAATATCAAAGTTAAGAATAGGGTGATCAGGGCAATCAGGGGTGCCGTACCTTTCCAAGAGCAATTTGGTAACTAATCGCTGGCCAGAAGGTCCTTTTTTTCAGGGTAGGTCTTATATTTTAGCAATTTCCAAAAATAGTACTAGGTCTTATTTTCGGGGTAGGTCTTATGTTCGGGGGAAACAGGGTATTTCTCATATAAATTTTATAAGTGCCGCACCACCATACACCATCATTAACCCTTTCGCTGGCTGCCAAGCCCTCCGAAACATTTTTCAATTCAGCTGGCCAAGCCATTTTTTGCAATTTTTCCCATACCTAAAATCAGTATCAGTGCACAAAAAAAAAAAAATTCTGACTAAATCTAAAAGATAAAACTGTATTGAGTTAATAAGTAACAAATATTTGCAAATTTGAAATTGCGCCTTTTTGCGAAAAGGTAAAAAATTACAGTACGCAAAACTGTAAATAAGCGACTTATGTTAAAAATTGTTTTTACGCTGTGTTGGTGTTTGTGTTGTGATAAAATGATAGGCGTATATTTAATTGCAACACAAGGTATCACAACGCACGGCAATGCGTCACAAAGCTTTGCCATGCGCTGCCACAGTTAATTTAATGGTTTTTTTAAAAGTAAGGTGCAGCTAAAATAGGACAAGCAGTAATTTTTCCTGACTGCATCTGAACGGACTGCAATGGTATGAATACAGCACGAGAAAGCCCATAGGAAAGCATTGTGATGTATTTTGGCTGCAGCAGTCAAACTGAACGGACTGCATCACAACTGCATATGGTGTGAACTAGCCCTAAAACACAGGAGCATTGGATATCAGGTCAAGACCATCACCTTTGACACATTTCATTCCCTTCAGGAACTTCCTCAGAAGGGGTGAGATCCCTAAGGGCCTGTGCACACCACCTCCAGATCATCTCTAGACCAGACCAGATTGTTTCCAGACCCAAAATGCATCCTAATGTATCCCTATGCTATTTCTGGCCTCTGTTCACACCAGCGCAGTACGTTCCAGACCAGACCAGAAAAAAACTGCATGTCTCATTTTGTCTGGTCTGGAATGCACTGGAACGCATGGAAACGCATCATAAATGCATGCAAACGCACTGGACCACACCTAAAAGCCAATTTTAGGCTAAAAGCAAGAACCCCAGCTCCAGAACGCAGCAAAATCGTGCCAAAAACACAGCAAAATGCAATGCACTGCGTTCCAGATCTGGTCCGGAAAATGGTGTGAACCCGGCCTCAAGTATGGACCATGGACTTGTTATGGGTGGGTGACTCCGCTGGGCACCCTGGGTGCCAAGACCTGCTATGCCTGCTGCTACTTGCCAGGATTTTTACTTCTGCTGTGGAAGGCGAAACTGAAAAGTACAGGCAGGACATCAGCACAGACAGCTGTGTGTCCCTGGCATAGAGCCCATAGCTGAGAAGGATGTGCCGGAAGAGGGAACCAATGGTGTGAGGAATGCAGGTCGGTACAGAATTGTGAAAGTGAAAAGCAGTGGGAGGAGGGCAGTGCAGGGGATGCAGAAGCAATGGTGAAAGCAGGGGACAGCAGCAGCAATCCTTGGAGTCGCACATCACAAGCAAGCCCAATTCATCCTGAACGCAACAAGATTCACACTCGAACATAACTATTTCTCATTCCTCGACAAATTTTATCTCCAAACCCAGGGCACAGTCATGGGGGCTAATTATGCCCCCAGTTACGCAAATTTAACCATGGGTTACTGGGAACACTTTCACATTTGGCATAATAACCCTTTTTCACAACACTTGACATACTATGGCCGGTATATAGATGACATCATGATCATTTGGGATGGACCCCCCGATACCATCACTGCCTTTGTGACACACTGCAATAGTAACCCACTCGGCCTCAAGTTCACATATGTCCTTGACAATCTTAAATTAACCTTCTTGGACTTGGAACTCACTCATAATGACAAGACCATAGTCACCACTACACACTTCAAACCCACTGCCGGTAATTCATATTTACACTACGAGAGTTGCCATCACCCCATATGGAAACGAAATGTCCCCAAGGGACAGTTCTGGAGATTAAACAAAAACTGTACGAGAAAAGATGACTATCTGACACAAAGCCTCCACCTAAAGAAAAAATTCATCGAGAAAGGTTACCCCAAGGATCTCATAACCAAAGCCCAGGAAAGCTTCCTGACACAGAACACTGCACCTAATAATAAAACTAAACACCAGACGCAAAAAGATGCGGTAAGATTTATCACACCTTTTAACAGTGACTTCAGGGCCATCGAGTCCATACTAAAAAAGAACTGGCATTTGCTCCTCTGTGACCCCAAACTAGGCTCCATACTGCCTAAGAAACCCACAGTAATATTCAAAAAAGCCAAAAACATCAAAAACATAGTGGCACCAAGTAAACTAGCAATCAAGAAAAACAAAACCGCAACCTTCCTGTTTGACAACAGGACAGGCGTCCATAAATGCAAAAAACTCCTCTGTTTAACCTGCCAGTTTATCACACACGGCCAAAATTCCTTTACAGACAGCTGTGGTAACAAATTCCCCATAGACCAATTTGTCACATGTGACCATGACTTCGTGGTATATGGTCTAAGATGCCCCTGTAACCTGCTGTACATAGGCCGTACCATCCGCCCCCTCCGTAAGCGCATAGGGGAACACAGAAGGTTCATAGAGAAAGGTAACACCGAACATAGTGTTCCCCGTCACTTCCTCCATAAGCACCAAAAAAACATCAAATTCCTACAGGTCTTTGTAATCGAACAGATTCCAAAAAACCTGCATACAACAGAAAGATTCCATAAACTGTGTCAGCAGGAAACATATTGGATCTACAAATTAAACACATTATCTCCTTCTGGTCTTAATGAAGATTTGGAAATCGGTACCATCATTTAACACCTAAACAAATCCATAACCATGTAGTCAGAAATTGAAGCTTGCCCTTGGTCATTTGTGACTTTTTCTCCTCATGTCACATTCAAAACATCCACAAGGGGCCAACCAAGAGCAACATACACTATGCTAATACCCTCAAAACACGCCCCGGACGGCCCACAAACCTCATACACGCCCCCATACCCTTTAAAAGACTCCCGCCACATCCACTTATCCTACCCTGGCTTGATAAAGAAGACAGGAGCTTCGAAACGCGTTGCCAAGACTACCGAAATTACGCTAAGACCACCGTAACTACCACAAGCATCCTATCCAAGTCTAGACCAGCAAGATTGCTGTCGCTCGGCGGCGCCTGCGCACTGCGTCACTCATTTCAATCCCGCACAGAGAGCCACTGCTTAAGAACACCGGGTAATATTAACCCTGCATACCCAAGTCCATCCAGCTCCTTATTTCTAATTTTAATTTTATCATTTTTTATTATTATTATTTTTTATATATTGTTTTTCATTTTTTTCATTATTATTATTTTTTCATAAACATTTTTTTCACCTGTCCAACCCCAAGGGCAGTTGCGCTTCAGACCCTTCTTTTCTGTTTCTTGCAATGGTGAAAGGGTGCAGAGGGTTTCAAGTTAGGCGTTTGTGGTGGACATGATGCAGAGGTCAGTGGTGGACATGGGGTGTAGAGGTAAGCAATAGCCAGTGGGATGCAGAGGTTAGTCGTAAACATGGGGTACAGAGGTGAGCGGTGAACGAGGGCTTCAAGGAGTGCTAGTTGCAGTACTCACTGTTATTTAAGGTAAGCTCAGACAAAATGTCTCTTTGTTTATGTTCTGTTTGCAGAAAAGCATATGTAATGGAAACGTTTTATTTTTATTTTTAATTGATTGTGCTGTGTCTCTGAGACGTTCACCTGTGGCATGGTAATACCAGCATATGTTGTGGGTACAAGAACTATGACATGATTCTTTGACTTAATGATATGTTAGCTTTTACTTTTCTGCTTAGATTAAAAGTTAGAGAACCCTTGCTTTAAGATAATCACATTTCAGGCATCCAGTTGCACTGCTAACTTCACTTTTTTTGGCACAAATATGATTGGCTAGAGTGATATTTTTGTATGAGGTCCTGAATATAATACATAAAGGAAATATTTGAAACTCTATACATTCTTTGTATTCTAAAGTAAGGCCCAAGGTGTTCTCACTTTCAAATGATTATTGGACTGATAACAGCTGAAGAAATATATGCATGTTGTCCCAAGGCAACTGAGTTGATCTTTTCTTTTACTTTCTAAAGGTGCCCATACACCTTATGACCATCGCAAGACTTTTGTCTTGCGATGGTCGTATGCTTCTTGAAAGCCCGTACGATCTGCCCACCTTGGACGGGCAGATCGTACTTGCGATCATCGAAAGCCCGCCCCGCTGAGGGGCGGGCTTCCGATGACGGCAATGCAGAAGGGGCAGTGTGCGCGTGCGCACACCGGCCCGTTCCGCAGCTATCGGGCGAGCAGGCTAGAAACCCGCCGAGAATCGTACGATTCTCGGCGGGTTTTCGAACATGTTGGCTCGTCAAAAGACGTGCAACCGTACAGTAGAAACGGTCGCACGTCTTAGTTCACACTGCTCGATTCTCGTACGATCGCGGGATTTCGCCCGATTTTCGTACGAGAATCGAGCAGTGTATGGGCACCTTAAAGGTGCCCATACACTGTACGATTATCGTACAAGAATTGCACGAAATCCTGTGATGGTGCGATAATCGTACAGTGTATGGAAGGCGTGCAACCGTTTCTACTGTACGGTCACACGTTTTCCGTCGAACAAGCAGGCTTGAAAACCCGCCGAGAATCGTACGATTCTCGGCAGGTTAGTGGCCTGCTTGTTCGACAACTGCCGAACGGGCTGGTGTGCGCACGCGCACACTGCCCGTTTGCAGTGATCAGAAGCCCGCCCCTCACTGCGGTCATCGGAAGCCCACCCCTGTCCAAGATGGGCAAATCGTACGAGCTTTTAATAAGCTTACGTAAGGTGTATGGGCACCCTAACCTATACATGAAAAATTGCAGCTGGAATTTGACTGGTTGCTACAAGCAACATCTCATCTTTCTTTATCCTATCCTTTTGTAAATCAACCCCTCAATGTGCATGGTAGGACTCATTTGGAAACCATACTTATACCACTCCATATCCAGCTCAGATTCACTGTACCAAATACGGCAAGACTTAGGCTGGGTTCAGGCCATTTTCTGGACCGTGATTTTACTGCGATTCTGCCACGTTTCTGAGCTGTTTTTGTATAGCTTAAAATGGCCTTCCAGGTGCGTTCCATGCTTTTGATGCATTTCTATGCGTTCCAGTGCATTCCAGACACGACAAAATGAGACCTGCAGTATTTTTCTGGTCTGGAACGGACTGCGCTGGTGTGAACAGATGGCAGAAATAGCATAGGGATACATTGGGAAGCATTTTGGGCCTGGAAAAAGTCTGGTCTGGAGGTAATCTGGATGTGGTGTGAATGGGCCATTAATGGCTACAGTGTAGTAAATGAAGTGGAGTTTGCTGACTCATGTCTAACATTGAAAAGAGCTGCTGAACTTCCCTAATATAAAACAAAAACACAATTCCACACAGCATTCACTTCTCTAGTATTAGCAGCAAATGCAGAACACACAAAAGAGTTGATTTACTAAGGCAAACAGGCTTTTCACTTTGCAAAGACATTTTCACTTTGCAAGGGAATTTTCCCTTAGCTTAGTGAATAAAGTAAAGCTCTGTTGCCATCCATCATCCAATTATGTGCAAGGAAAAAAAGTTTTTTTTTAAAAATGTTTCTTGCACTTGATTGGGTATTGTTTGCAAAGTGGTTTTTCGCCACATTCACTAAGCTAAGGGAAAATTCCTTTTGCTTTAGAAAACCAACCATAAAGATTCTGCTTAAGGGCTCGTCTCCACCAGCCCGTGCGCTCATCGCACTGTCCCATGCCCGGAACGCAAGGGATCACATACACAAAGTCTTCTTGCGTCTGGGGCGGTGGGGGGGAAACATGATTGCAATGCAATACCCCCTTGCCCCTTTACCACACCCATACTTACCTGGCTCTGGCCACACAGCTTCATCATCCATTCATATTTCCTTTAAAAGGTTTTGTAAATGGAGAAACTACAAGTGCCATCAGCCACCATGGCAGAGGGACTTCTAGTTCTCAATTACATACAAGTGCAGTAATGTCACACCACTTGTAGTCCATTCATTCTTCCTCCCATCCAGGTTACTGAATGTCCATAACGAGGTATGGACATGGATGAGAGGAAGAATCTGCAGGAGCCAGAGTATTGCACTTGTGATCCACTGATCACGTTTGCAATGCTTTACTGCCTACAATGCATAAAAAGCCGCAAACACAGACGATCGGCCGTGAGGCGGCATGCCAGCTGGCTAATCGGCGTCTTCTGTGTGGATAGCCAATACGGGTTATACCCATTCTATACTCAGATCTGATTGAGTTCTACAAGCGCTTAGAACTGCACTTTTGTGAGTATGTTTTTATTGTTCTTTTTTCTTTTGCACATGATGTGCATTTGTTCTTGAGCTACTGAGCAGTTTTTTTAATAAAAAAATTTTGGGCGCAGAGTTTAAGATTAGGTCCATTTAGAATAAACACAAGGAAACTGATAAATATGCAATTTATATCTGATTTTAGTAAAATAACACACACTCAGACAAATACAAAGAAAAAATAACATTCATTTAGCCAATAACAGGTTACAAATTATAGCAGTTGCAGGTCTCTCTCAGGTTCTGTCCATCTCAGTAAGAGGGCAACACCTGCAGACATCACTGCAAGCAGCAGAGTGTCAATGGTCTTACAGCCCTCTGACAAGGCAGGGTGTGAACTGGTTACATTATACAAAACCCGATGACAACAGCTTCCTCTCAGCTTCCCGAATTTGAGAGGCAGCCCAGAAGCTTTATATACCATTATGCCAATTGGTCAGAGCAGCTACTTCTAGTGTCTGTGCTCTGGAGTACGCAAGACTGGTAGACTGCACTAAAGCAAGGAAAAGAATTCCCAGAGCAAGATAACTTAACATAAAGATTATATTTGTATGCAGCAATACAGGGCAGTGCTGAGTAGAGAACAAACAGTACAGTGCAAGGTTAATTACAGAACAAACCGCACAACATAGAAGGTGGTGTGGTATTACACATGTGACGGAGGATGTGGGGGACACAGAACACATACTCGGAGAGCAAGAGTAGTTTTGTGAGCCCTTGGCGAAGGGGCCTCTTAATTAAGGGCTTGTTCACACCAAGCGCGGAGCAGATCCAGAGCAGGTGCAGACCGGATCAAAACTGCGTCCAATGTATTCCTATGGTATTTTGAGCTCCAGTTCACATCGCAGCGTGCAGATCCAGAGCAGGTGAAAAAACTGCGGCAAGCCCTATTTTACCTGCTCTGGAACGCATCAAAAACGCATGCAAGTGCCTGAAAGCCCATGTTAAACTTAAAAAATATATATATATTTTTTTAACCAAAAAAACGGCCCGGAACACATCAAAAACGCATCAAAAACACGGCACAACCCACTGCACTGCGTGTGCAGAAACCTGACCGGATCTGCTCTGCATTTGGTGTGAACAAGGCCTAAGGAGTCAACACAAAGGCAGTAGTTTGACACAGAAGGGTTAATTGCTCAGGGTCACAGGGCAGCAGTTTGGGCACAAGAAAGGGTAAATCCTGAGGGTCATCGGGCAGCAGCTTATGCACAGAAAGGGTAAATCCTCAGAGTCACGGGGCAGCGGTTTGGGCACAGCAAAGGTTAGGTCCCCAAGGTCACCAGGAAGCAGTTTAGGCACAGAAAGGGTTAAGTCCTCAGGGCACAGGCAGCAGCTTAGGCAGGGAAAGGGTTATTACTCACACTCGGCAGCTTGACACTTCCAGCTCGGCTCACTTCTCTCTATTGCAGGTTCATTTAAGCACACAGCTAGAGCCCTGCCTTAGCTCGGGCTCTGTTGTCAGTCAGCATGGAGAGGAACTGCCTGCCAAGCCCTCTCACAGCTCTTAAAAAGCTGTGAGAGGCGCAGGCATGAGAGGGGAGGGACAGGGGCAGACACAGGCTGTTGCTCAGCAACCAGCATCACCCCCTGACGACTGTGCGGCCTTTGTTCCTGGGGGGCCACTAGTGGCAGGAACATGGGGCTCCGCACTTGGGCACTGGCACATTGCCTGATGCCCAAGTGCCTTGCACCCAGCTGTTTAACGCTTTCTGCAAGCTTTTGATCTCCCGGTCAGTGTAGCTGGGGATCAAAGGCTGCCTGCCACTCTGCTAGGGGCTGCGGCATACATGCCTCTGCTGGCGATGCGGAGTGGGGAGGTTGTGTGGCCTGACAGCGATTCTTAACCTTTTTTCAGTTGCAGCACCCTTTAAAAGCTTTAAAAGTATATAAAATCTTGAGGCACCCCAGTCCAAAATGCAAAAAACGGAAATGTAAAAAATAACGTGGTTCCCCCAAAATCTATACCATACACTTATCCTAGATATGGGTCTTGTTTAGCTTTTAAGTGGGAACTCCATGCAAAAAACAGCAATAAAATTACTCGGCATTCTGCGAGAGAAAATCAAACAGAAATTAAACTTGACAGCCAATTAACTATTGCCCCCAAAATGTTTTGCTGGAGGT